AAGTAAGAGACACCTGTGAGACAGAAAGAAACACATGCTTTGGCATCCATCTTTTTTTTTTTTATCCACAAGAGTGGTTCTAGGAAAGTAGATCAGTCAAAATTATGGTAGCCAGGGACAGCAGAAAAACTAATTTTCAGGGGCCTTCATGAGAGAGATCTAGCCACAGTGCTTACACTGTTTCTAGTAACCTTCTTCTTTTCCTGGACTGGGTTCCTGATTTACCTCCCAGTGTCCAATCTTCCTGTGGAAGACCCTATTGATTGCAGCAGGAATAATAATCATGCTTCAGCATTTATAAGGATCAAGCCCTATAAATTCTGTTCTCTCATCATGTATTCAATAGTCAGATGACATCAGAACCTGATGACCTGGAACAGAATAGCACAGAGGAAGACAAGAGTATGATTTCTGGGAAAGTCCATGCTCACTGTGTCATTTTTTTCGTTTTTGTGTTCCTGAGGCTGCCTAACATTACATGCTCTGAATAATCCTCTGGATCCACCTTTTGCTCTACTCCAGAGTCTAGAAAGACCAGCCTCCTAACTTAAATTGGATGCTTACATTTAGATTATATGACCATCACATCACAAGTATATTTTTGGATATTAAAGATCTGTAATCATTTTCAGCAATTCCCTGGATGAGCAGCTTTAGTATCCAGAATAAATTCTGTATGATCCACCTCCACTCAACCTGTCCTCTTTGAGAAGATAACAAGAGGTTTTTATGGCAACCAGGAAATAAGAGTATTTCATATATATTTGTAACAGCAGAAATGGTAATGTTGGTTTAGAAGAAAAATGCTGTGAATGGTAGAGCTCACCTGAAAAAAGAGCTAGTCTTAGAACACTCGTACTTTAAACACTGGATCTGATCTTTCATATACTAAATATATATTTTAATGCAGATATATAAGTCTAGGAATCAAAGGTATGAAATATCAGACTGGGGAAGCAATGAAACCTTTACTTGTATCACTGACATACGTCTGATCTTACTGCTGTTTTACCAAATTAGTCCTGCTTCATTTGATGGCTGACCTTTATGAATCAGGACAATCTTACTGTGCCATTTCCCTGTTCTAAAGTCCCACCTCAACAATACTCTTTGAACTGAAGCTTTATGTGCACCAATACTGACGTGCCTTTTCTTCATCCTGCTCACGCAAGTATTTCATCAGGTGGCATACTGCTCATAGCCAAACAAATAGTTGGCGCACACAGTTCCTCTGTATAGACTTTGCTATTCAAGCAAATAATATCTGTCTTGTTGGCCATGTTCATAGGAGGTTACTGAAAGACCAGAGACAAGCATATGTTTTTTTATTCTAACATCTGGACTGCATCTTATAATGGAAGCAAACACCGTTCCAAGCAAACTCTGCTCATAGGCCAGTGCCTCTGTGCCACGTCCTGTCCTTGTAAGCCATAACACAGGTGAACCTCTACTATGACGCTCCAGCAGATCTCTAGATGACCTTTTTTTGGGGGGGTGGGGGTGTGACCTTTTTTGTTTTTTTGTTTGTTTCTATACTAGCCAAATTTTGCCAAGTTTTCTGAGTTTGGGCAAACAGCACCAATACAAAAGCCGGTTTCCCAACCTCTCAGACTCTGCTAGCCATTTTGGAGGACTGTTAACAATTCTCAAAGAAAAAAATCACTGAAATACATATGGGCAAAATTTATGCTTGAAAATGCTTGATTAAATTTGGCTGAAACTTTTCAAAGTTTGGTAAGTGTTTAATAGTTGAAAAGCAGTATTCTGTGGCAGTGAATGAGTAAAACAGTAGCAGCTATAATGAATAACACTGATTTAATTGAGAATGTTTATATGAGTTATTATACCCTTTTACAGGTACCTCGGTACCTGAGGGTTTTGAAGACTGTATATATCTTCAAAGTGTTCTGGTCTACATCAGCTATTACTAAATTTATCTTAAATTTATTTGAGAAGCAGAAAAAGAACTGTACAGTGTAGAGCTATTTCCACTTTAAAACTTTGTAATAAACAAGTCCGCATTTTCACTAACACTGTGTCCTTGCAATGTTCACTACAATGGGAAACATTCCTTAGTATTTCATGTCTTGTTGCAGATACTGCTGCCAGGTAGGTGATTTATGCTTTTCTCGTTTTGCCAATTTACAAGCACACTGATGAAGAATACCATTTTGATCATCTTACCCTAATTAGCCTTAATTATAGCCTTCTTCACATGGTAGTCTTTAGAGGTATCAGTATATATTTATCTGCAGGGCATATCATGAGTACAGGAGGACATCATTCCCTGATTTGCATAAAGAGGATTTGGAGTTGTCATCTGGCTTTGTATGGAATAGCAATAATCTTCTTAAGACAGTTAAAAAAAAAACCTACAAACACCTCACACTCTCATGTTTGGCAACGGTACAATATTTGTCACTAATTACACCCAAGAATCAAGTAAGAAATAACTTGCAGACCATTTATTTGAGTACATGTGGGCAGGGTACATTTCGCAGAAATACGGTTCAGATCCTTTACATGAAGAACTTATTAAAAGAACAAATCTCTAGTGTACGCAAAATAAAAAAGCAAGAAAGAGACTTGATGAGAGAAGAATACTTGGGACTAGCTGGTTAACATGTAAAAAGGTAAATCCCTTCTGTTTAATCAGCCCTGCTCATCCTAGTGCATCAAAGCGGGACTCCCACATTGTTACTCACCAGTTCATTTTTATCTAGCATCATCGTGACCCTCAATTGCAACGTCCCTCTGGAAACTAAAACCATAAGCTAGCTAAACATGGTACTGACGCATTCCAACAGGTTTCCCTGAAAAAGCTGTGTGCCATACTACTTGTTTCGGGATCCCTGCTGGAGAAAAGACT